AGTGGGATCAGAGGCCCAATCAGCATCACAGAATGCTGAAATGGGTAGAGACATGGTAGATAAAGGAATGGGTTTGATGAGAATTCCATGTGTAATTGTGCCAGACAGATAGCGTAGTATGTGCTTAACTGCTTTCCAATGATCTTGCAGAGGTGCAGCCATGAACTGACAGACCTTATTAACTGCATAGCTGATCACAGGTCTTGTTAGGGTAGCATACTGTAGAGTACCAACTACAGATCTGTATAAAGAAGGATCAGGTAAGGATTCACTCCCTTCATGGGTAAGCTTGCAAGTGATAATCATAGGAGTCATGACTCCCTTAGAATCTGTCATTCCAGCTTGATGTAGTAAATCTCTGACATACTTAGCTTGAGAAAGATGTAGGCTTCCATCTTGAAGCTTCTGGACTTGGATTCCTAAAAAGAAATCAATGTCTCCCAGGTTTTTAAGAGAGAAAGAGCAGTTTAATTTGCTGATGAGAGTGTGGATGGCTGAAGTGTTGTTGCCAATGACAAGTATGTCATCAACATAGATAAGAATGTATATCAGGATGCCAGAAGATGTAAACAGAAGTAAGGAAGGATCACACTTGCTTTGCTTGAACCCAGCATTGTAAAGAGTTGAAGTCAGTTTTTGAAACCATGATCTAGGTGCCTCTTTCAGGCCATATAGGGATTTGTGAAGTCTGCACACCAAAAATGTATCTTTTTCTTGAAAGCCTGGAGGTTGAACCATGTATACTTCTTCACTTAGATCTCCATTAAGGAAAGCATTATTGACATCCAATTGTTGAATAGGCCAGTGATGAGATACAGCAAGAGTAAGAAGTATTCTGATTGTGATAGGCTTTACCACAGGAGAAAAGGTTTCTCCAAAATCAAAACCAAATCTCTGATGGTAGCCCTTAGCAACTAACCTTGCCTTGAACTTATTCAAGGAACCATCTGCATTTTCTTTCACCCTGAAGACCCATTTGCATCCTATAGCCTGTTTATCTGGAGGAAGAGGGACTAAAGACCAAGTGTTGTTAGAAATCAATGCATCATACTCAGTTTTCATTGCAGCAGACCATTGAGGAGAAGTAAGAGCCTGCTTGACTGACCTGGGCTCAACATGAGCTAATAGTAAGGTTGGATTAAGTCGTGGTTTAACAATTCCAGATTTGGCTCTGGTTTGCATGGGGTGAGTGTTAGTCAGAGGAGCAGTAGATTCAGAAGAAGAGGATAATGAGTGTGATTCAGATGAATTAGACTGTGAAGGAGAAGAAGTGGGAACAGAATTAGGCTGAGATGAATTAAGGTGTAAGTGGGAAGGAGTAGAGATAAATTGAGAGTTCTTATGTTGTGATTGAGAGGGAGAAGAACCTTGTTGAGAAGAATCTGTTTGGGATATAGAAGTGGAAGAATCAGATTGAGAAGAGGAATTGGAAGGGACAATTGTTATGGGAAAAGACTGTGAAGAAGTAGATATACAGGGCTGGTGAGGAATTGAATTGAAAAGAATGGGATAGGGGAATTTGGACTCATTAAAAACCACATCTCTGGAGATATAGACTTTCCCAGAAGGTGAGAGGCACTTGTAGCCTTTGTGTTGGGAAGAATAACCTATAAACACACACTCTTCAGAGTGAAAATCCATTTTGTGTTTATTGTAAGGTCTGATAAAAGGAAAACATGAACATCCAAAGACTCTGAGAAATGAATAATCTGGAATAGAGCCATATAGCTTAAAATATGGACTTGAATTTGCAATTGACTTTGAGGGAGTTCTATTTGAAAGATGAACAGAGGTTGCAAATGCAGCATCCCAGAATTTATGTGGTAAAGAAGAATGAGCTAGAAGAAACAGACCCTTCTCAACAATTGTTCTATGTTTTCTTTCAACAACACCATTTTGGTGATGAGTGTGAGGACAAATGATTCTATGTGTGATGCCTTTGTCAGTGAGGAATGTGGTAAAGGATCTAAACTCACCTCCCCAATCAGATTGAAGAGATTTAATAGAAACAGAAAACTGGTTGAGAACATATTGGTAAAAGTTTTGAAAGGCAGTAAGGGCATCAGATTTCTTTTTCAAAAAGTAAATCCAAGTATATCTTGTGTAAGCATCAATGAATGAAATATAGTAAGAGTATCCATCAAAAGATGACATGGGAGCTGGTCCCCAAAGATCAGTGAATACCAATTCAAATGGTGAATGAAAGATGGTAGTAGAGGGAAAAGATGGAAGTCTATGTGCTTTACCAAGACAACAAGAAGAGCAGAAATCAATATTATTTTTATGAGTAGAAGTAACATTACAGTGTTGCATTACAGATTTGAGAGCCTCAAAGTGAGGGAGGCCTAATCTCAAATGCCACAAATTACAAGAAGGAGAATTATTACAAGATTGAACATGATTACATGACTTATTTTGAGACAAAGATGGACTGGAAACAAGAGCTGGAAGGGATTGAAATTTGTAGAGACCATCTGCACCTAGAATGCCATGTAGAAGGACCTTTTTAGAAGCCTGTGATTTAACAAAACACTCATGAGCATGAAACTCAAAGAAAACATTATTATCTCTTGCAAACTGACTAACACTTAGTAAGTTTTTGGTTATGGAAGGAACATGGAGAATGTTGTTAAGTAAGAGTGTATAAGAAGGATTAAAAGGAGAAGAAAAGGAAGAAAAACCAATCGACTTAATGTCCAAACCTTGACCATTGCCCATGAACAGCTTGTCAGTGGTAGCAAGTGGCTCACTATGTTGAATGTTGAGAGGATCAGGGGTGACATGGTGTGAAGCTCCAGAATCTGGAAACCAATTCTGTACATTAGGAGGTGGTCCTAGCAATGAAGTGTTTGCAGAAGCCCAAGCTGCAGTTGGAGTAGGTTGATTTTGAGATGATGATGAAAAGTGATAATTGGTGGGCCCCCAATTTGTATTCTGAGAGTGCTGATTTGGAATATAGCTTGGTGTTGGTTGGGTAAATTGTGGATATGGATGAGGATGGGATGGAGAATAGTTATTGTGAGGATGAGGTGCAGGTTGTGGAGGATAAGAGCGATAAGGATGAGATGTAGGTTGTGGTAATGAAGGATTAGATACTATGTAGGTAGGATTATGGTTTGATAATGTAGGGTTAGAGACTGTATAAGCATGATTATACATGTGATAGCAAATAAGAGCACTATGACCAACCATGCTACAAACTTGGCAAATGACAGAACTGCGACCACCAGATCTGCCACCTCTTCCTCTGTTAAAACCTCCGCGGCCTCTACCTCTGTAGGTAGTGTTTGTACCAGGATTGTCATATTGAGCAATTTGTGCAGATGGACTTTCTGAGGAGTTTTGTGAATCAGTATCAGTTTGTACAGGTGTTTCTTCAAGTTGAGCAACATTTGCAGAGAATATAGTCTGTTGCGAAGAGTCTCGAAGCTTTCTTATTCGCAGCTCTTTAGCTAGCAGGAGAGATTCAAGCTCAGATAAAGTAACAGGATCTAGAAGGCTTCTGGATGTGACAGAAGATACGATTGAATCATATTCTTCTGGGAGGCCTTCAAGGATCACGTTGATATGATCCTTTGTTGAAATAGGTTCACCGACGGAAGTTAGGTTATCAATGATGGTCTGAATACGAAGGAGATAATCAGAAATGGAGCGATCACCTTTTCCAGTGTTATACAGCTCGGATTTTAGCTGGCGAGCCTTCGCGACAATATTCGACCGGAAGAAATGCTCGATTTCACTCCAGAGCTGATGCGAGAAAGTGCAATTGATGACACGAGCATGAAACGATTCCGAAAGAGATGCGAATAACCACGAAAACAGCATTTGATCTTGTTGTTCCCAAACACAGTAATCTTCATTGATAGTCTTTGTCGCGCCATTATCACTGATGATAAATTGATCTGGATTTGAGGATTTTCAATGAATTTTTGAAGTTTGTGAGCTCGAATCACAGATTTGACATGATGTTTCCAGAACAAAAAATTATTGGAATCAAGTTTGATTGGTAAGGGATGATGAAAGATTATAGGAGAATTTTGAGAGATTGAGTGAGAAGAAGCTGAATCAGATGTCGAGTTCGTCATCCTTGAAAAACGAAGGAGCTCTATGGCTCTCATACCATAATAGAATTTCAGATAGAATGAATGAGGAAGAAGATAATTCTCATTAACTTTGACGAAGAGTACAGAGAGTATTTATAGAAAGCTACAGCTCAACTGAACTAACTAACTAACTGAAATACAACTGACTTATACTAATACAATTCGTATAGTATATCTAACAGGGATGGACCCAACCGGGTCGGGGACCGGACCGACCCGCTACTGTGCTGGCCCGGACCGGACCGGGCCTGGATGGCCGGTTCCGGGCTTTAGCCCGGTTTGAAAGGCCTGGCGGGCCGAGATCGGGTCTTGATTTTCATGAACCGACCCGGTTCCTTTTTTTTTGTTTTTTCAATTTTTTTTCTTTTCCTTGGGTAGGGCTAGCCTATCTTGGTGTTTTGGGGAGGTTTGAGGGGGGTGAGGGGGTCGAAGTTAATTAGAAAACCAAAAAAAATAATACATTGAACCGGTACAACCCGGCCCGGTTTGGCCCAGAGCCGGTATCAACCCGGGCCGATTCCAGGCCCAACATTCCAGAAAAACAGCCCACCCGAATTAGCCCGGGCCAAGTCCATGCCTTAATAGTTGCTCACACCGTTTTTTGTGTCACATTTTTTTAAACAAGTGTACTCTCAAGATTTCCTTACAAGCAAGTATTAACTTTATTAATTATTATGCTTTATACGGAGTACATATTTACTAACTTATTTATGACATTACAAATAAAGACATTGCAATATATTTTAAAAAATTGAAAAATGATAATTTACATAAATCTTGCCTTTAGTGCAAAGGAATTAAGGAACGATAACATTTTTATTATGTATTGAACGGTCTCTAAGCAAAAAAATCCCAAAGAGTTGCTCAGCCAAGAGCCCAGGAACTTACTACCAAAGATAACTATCAATTATTTTCACGAAGAGCTTTTTTATCCTTGTTCAGTTTGCTAAACGTAAAGAAGCAAATGGTCTTAAACGGGTCCAAACCAACCGCGGACCCACAATCATGTTTAACTCATTTACACAAATCGTTACAAATGCTGACTTACACGTCAGCCCAAGAAATACAGCATCTCTGAGGATATGTTGTGATGATAATTGTTAGCAAATGCACAAAGCTAACATACTACACAATTACACATGCTGAGATTGGCCCTAGTACACTACATACATTATTGATCATACAAACCCCCCATGGAATAGCCAGCATTTACCACAAACACCCTGTCTTAGATACGCTTTGCGGGATGTTGAAGATGTTAAGCTCAAAGCCTCAAACTTACCGCCACTGCTGGATCTGGCACCAATGACAACAGTTATTGTCAATGATGTTAAAGAAACGGCACCACAAGAATATATATCGCATGAAGATTCAAACTAGTTAAGTTCCTTCAAACTACATCAAACATGTGGATATGAATCCAGGACCATTACAGGTGTGAAATGAGGCTAAACAAGTAATACTGTTAACAGTTGATGAAAATACTCTTAGTTTCCATATTTGAATCCAGTAAATTTAAATGACAGTTCTATAAAGAAAACCACAAGTGTAAAGATATTTTAATTTTTAAATCAGAAAGAAAATATGAATTTTCAGTTTAGGACTTTACACAGAAGTGTAACTCTATCTGCCACAGAAAGTTTGGTAATTTTTTCAATATTTTGAAACAGGTAGTTACTTTTTATTGTACTAACAGCAATAAAAAATGTTTACAATATTCACTCTCTTACTTAACATTACATGCTTAGTAAAATTGTTTATTACCGAAGAAGATATAAGGATGCTTAGAAAATTTAGACCAGGACTTACAGACACTATCCAAACAAAAGTAGAATACATCTAGAGAGCACAACAAAAAGATCCCTTATTGAAAATACACGAGTACAGAGTACCACAGGAAAAATAAAAGCCAGACCCACTATGTTACCTGAGAAACTACATCAGACCTTTGGCGAATGTTCTGCATCAGATCCACCTTCTGATGAGCTTTCACTTTGAGAACCTGTTGCAAAATGAGATGATATAATTAAGAAGTACGGCATCAGTCCAATAAAAGAAAATGTTGCAAGAATAACAACAACAACATTAAAAATAGTAGTAGTTGTATTAATTATAAAGACATTAATAATAATAATAATAATAATAATAATAATAATAATAATAATAATAATAATTGTAGTAGTAATAGTAAATTAGTAATCATAGTAATTTTTTTTTGGCAGGTTTTGACAGTAATCATAGTAATAATAATAGTAATAATAGTCGTAATTGCAGTAGTAATAACAATACAATATGATCATTATATAAATACCACTGGATGAAGACCCTGAATCAATGCTAGAGCTGCTTGATTTAGTTGCATTGTTCTTTACATTTTCCCCTTCAGCAGGAGCAGAAGAAATGTCATTTCTTTCTGCTAATATACACGGACGAAATCAGCAACCATCACAAGAAGGAATAAAGTTGTAGTCCAGGCAAAGTAAGGTTCACAATTCGTAAACTTGTACCAAATGAAGGTTTCATTTTACACAAGTACTACACTAGTTCTTCCAAACTAATTAAATGGTTACCTGCTTTTCCGTCACTTTGAGTTTTCTTTACAGCATCTGTTGCAGTTTCTAGTGCCACTGGAACTTCTATCTGCTGAAATAGTGAAACCGAGGTTATGCAACTAGCAAGCTCATTTAATGATATATAAAGAGTTACCAGATTTAGTCCCTTGATTATATACTCTTACTCAATTAGGTCCTCAACTTTTTATTAGGCTCAATTGGGGTTTTTGATTATGAAATTTGGACCCATTTTAGGCATAATACATATGACATAAGAAGGATTCTTTGTCCTCTCACCTAATTAACGAATTCCAGACTCAAAATGGCCCTACACCATGTGATTTGGGCCCAATTTAGTAAAAAATCTTCTTAATTAGAGCATTATATGCATGAAGACTAAATTAAGTCTGGATTGTATAGTCAAGGACCAAACTGAGTAAGAGTATAAAGTGAGGAAAAAATCTTTTGTTAGTTCCATAAATAAAAAGTGCAATTTTATAAATTTTTACTTGTGCATAGTTTACCTTCTCTTTGACAGGCTGTTCATCTTCTTGAACTGGTTGAGATGCAGGATCAGGCATTTCAGCTTTTCTTTTATTCTTGCTCAAGCTCTTTTTGTAGTTGGTTACAAACCTATCGAGCTCCCAAAGAGTTTCTATATCAACACTGTCAATATCTACTTCGATCTCATCATCTTGTTGGCAGAGAGAGGAGTTCCTCTTTCTTATAATTTGCACTACACTTTCAAGCTTTTCAGAAGGCAAGCTTTGGAGGTTCATGCTAAGTTTTTGTTTCTCATCATACGTCATATCCCTTTTATCGGGATCCTTTGCCTTTGGCTTCTTAGGGGCAGCGATTCTCCCAGGCTGTGAGGATTTCAGCTTTGGTTTCAAGTCAGTCAGGGGCTCAGGCCTGCCAGCTAATTTTCTCATTTCAGAGTTTGGTAACTTAGGGGCCTTCCTGGTGGATGTAGGAGTCAGTAAGCCCACTTCCGCCTCAATAGGAGCCCATTTGTTGTCAAATATCTGCAAGAGCTGCTCAGCCATTACATGAACATCTTGCCCCTTTGGATTGTACGTCATAGCGTTCCTGAATGTAAGTCTAACGTCCTCTGCAAATTCTCTAGGAGATTTGTACCAATTACTGTCCAGTCTGGATTTCACTGTGCCAAGATCCATTGGTTGCTTAATGATGTCATAATAGTCATGTAAACCAAGACCAACAGTATCAACTGGCTGGTTAAACACCCAACCATGCTTGTGCTTCATTAACCTTTCCAGTAAGGCACAGCAATTCTTGAACACTTGATTAGATGGCTTTCCAGACCCAAAACCATGCCCTGCTTTCGTGTTTGGTTTCGCCTTCTTGTTGCTTTCAGAAGGTGGGATCTTATCTTTTGCAAGCAAAAAATCTGAGTTTCTATATAATTGGTTTGCCTTGGGCGTCCTCTTATCTTTATCTATGTTGTCATTTACACCATGACTGTTCTCCAACACTGACACACTCAATTGGTGCAAAGGTCCTATAGGGTCATTCTTGTGTGTATCTTTTGACTCTATATTCTTCACCAAGCTCCTAATCACATCCAGCTCACTCTGCAGCTTCCTCCTTAGCTCTCGCATTTCTCGTTTAGACTTCATTGATGATAAGCTAATTGTAACCCTGTTTTCCTGCCTTGTAAATCCCAGTTTTGGCCCTTCACTACCTGCAACCACTGCACGACTGCCCATTGGCGCAGCGGATGACCGTTTAAGACTTGAAGAACCTTCCCGCGGCACAATAGGAAGGGAATTAACTAGAGGTTGGGACCACTCAGCTTCTTCTGCAGCTTGGGATTGAATGTGAAGCTCTTCTGTAGGATTACCACTGTTTTTAGATGTCTTATTTACCCCTTTGATGGACTTCCTTGTGTACACTTTGTCTCCCAATCCAAGCTTCTCTTTGGACCCTTCATGTCCTCCACTTACACCACCACCAGACATCGTTTTTAACACATTCAACTCCAAACCTCTGATTAATTCATTCACAGATCGAATATTAACATGTATGCAATCGAATAAGAAACGTATATCTTCGAATTCAACGAAAACGAGTAAATTCTCTCCAAATATACGTTAACTAGGGTTTTACGGTAAATAAACTATCAACCTACCTTTCTCCGTAGAACGCCTGCAATCAATACACTCCAGCTTCACAGTTAGATCCCGAGATCTGCAATTACCAATCATGTTTTTTGATCTGGTTTTAGGATAGTCCATTGGGCAGAGCATCAAAGGGCAGCGATGAGGAGAGGAGGTAGAAGATTGACGCGACTGGACAGAGCGTGCGAAGCACGAAGCTATGGAGCGCTGGGATTTTTTCCCTCTGGAAACGGAGGGATTATTAACGGTTGAGATTTCGGTGCTGTTGCAAGTTGATATTTAGAGTTAAGTTCATTATTTGTTGCTCCACGCGAGAAGGGTGGCGCGTTTCGTACAGCTTCAGTTTGTGGATTTATTGTCCTCCTACTACCCCGTCCTCCCAAATTGGAAGTCCGTTGAAAGTGATAACTTAGATTTAGGTTGGGCTGATCTGTAATGTTATGTTTCCCAAGCCCAAAGTTTACATCACTGTTTATTTACATTTCCATTGTCCCGTATTTAGCTATGTTTATTTATTTACAAAACTGAACCCGTGGGCGACCCGGACAAATTATCGGGTCAAGGGTCAACCCGGACCTGAAGGATCAACCCGGTCAAGACCAGTTAACTCGGTCAACATTATATACATATATATTATATACTCCGTAAAACATATAGTTAAATTTGTAAAGGAAAAAATATTTTCCTTCCTAATTAATAAACTTGTATTCCCTGCGCAGTAGTACATATTGATTAATTTTTTTAACTAAACCATATAATGCATTTCAAATTAGTGGAACAAAAAAATGAATATAACATGAGTTTTTTACAAGAATATTACTAAAAAAACATATTTACATAAATATGACTATTCATTACTATAATGTGGTGTTGTAGTAATTTAAATTCAAAACTTGAACATGAATTACTATGATTTCATTACTACTCTAGTAATTAGTCATATTTTTGTAAATCATCTTTATTTTAGTCATATTTATGTAATTATTTCATATAACATACATTAACTACAAAGTTATAAAAGTAATGTACAGATATGTTTTTTACTTATACTAAGAATATACTCGTATAATACATATTCCAATTCGTACATAATAACCATAGTACATACTCCTCCGTCCCCTATAATTGTCCTGTTTTTTCATTTTTGGATGTCCCTTTATTATTGTCTCATACCATATTTGGTAAAATTTGTGTGATTTTAATTCATTCTTACTTTATTTCCACTTTATCAACTCATTATCAACCACATAATTCTACTTTTCTTAAAAACTACGTCACTCCCTTCCGTACCATTATTAGGGGGGCGGAGGGAGTATAATTAGTTTTCATTTTAATATCACTAATTAATAAAAGTATATTTCGGGTGTAGTTATAGTTATACAATAATAATTGCTGAGAAGCTTTGTAATTCAACGGGTTGTTGTAGATCAATTCGTAGCATAGCTGTTATGCATTGTATTAGAGTACAGATTCAATTCCTTGTTCGGACAACTCTCTGCGCCTCAGTTTTTCTTCATGTTGGCCAGTTTGTAACGGGTTTTCGGGGTTTAGCATGCTGGGCCGGGTGCGAGTACAATCCGGTCCACCGGTTATCTCCGGTTTTTACTCAATTAACGGTTTAGAGTACAATCGGACCGGATTGATTGCCGGTTCGCCAGATTCCGGACTGATCCGCTCGGTCCGGTCCAGTTCTTAGAAACACAGGTATTTAGAGCTCATTTAGTGACTCTATTTTTCGACTTATCAGGTTTAGGAGTCAACTCCTTGTTATGCATTGTATTAGGTGCATTGTATTAGGTTACAAGTTCAATTCCTTGTTCGAGCACTCTCTGCGCCTCAGTTTTTCTTCATGTTGGCCGGTTTGTAACGGGTTTTAGCATGCCGGGCCGGGTGCGAGTTCAATCCGGTCCATTGGTTATTTCCGGTTTTTACTCAATTAACAGTTTAGAGTACAATCGGTCCGGATTGATTGTCGGTTCGCCAGATTCCAGGTTGATCCACCCGGTCCAGTCCGGTTCTTTAAACACAGGTATTTAGAGCTCATTTGGTGACTCTATTTTTCGACTTATCTGGTTTAGCAGTCAACTTTTTCGTCAAAAACGTAACTTTTAGTTTCGCGTCGAATTATGTAATAATATGAAAAAATAAGGTTTGAATTACTTTTCTGACTGTATTGGCGGACCGGGTTGATTGCCGGTTCACCAGATTCCGGGCTGATCCGCCCGGTCCGGTCCGGTTCTTTAAACACAGGTATTTAGAGCTCATTTGGTGACTCCATTTTTCGACTTATCAGGTTTAGCAGTCAACTTTTTCGTCAAAAACGTAACTTTTCATTTCGCATCGAATTATGTAATAATATGAAAAAATAAGGTTTGAATTAATTTTCTGACTGTATTGGCTGAAGTTACGATGTATGATCATTTTAGCTATTTTTCATGTAATTTTTTTTATTTTATTAATAAAATATATTTTAAATATAACTTTTTTATAAATTAGCAAAACCAACCAATCCAATCACTTCAGCCAAACTTCATAAATTTCAGCATAATCAATTGATTCAGCCGATTTCAGTGTTACCAAAGGGACTCTTAGTAAGATAAGATGTTTTTCTTAAAGTTTTCAACTCCTTACTAATCTCAATAAATCTAAATATTTCTTCTATTGATACAAAAATAATATATCCATTTCATAATTTAAAATTTTCAAGGGAAAAAATAGAAATTTACTTCATTAAAAGTTTTGTAGCACAAATAATGAAACTATAATTATTTGGTTGTCAATTATTTTGGTAATTTTTCTGATAAAACTTAATCATTTAGAAATAACATCCTAATGTTCAAAGAATTGAAGTTGGATGTTGATCAAATTATTGGACCTTTATACAGTAAATATATCTATACAATAGAATATATCATAGTATTAGACTAATATTAGGGGGGGGAGGGGGGTTAAAAAAGGAGAAGGAAGGGGGGGGGGGGGGGGGGGGGGTTAAAAGGAGAAGGAAGACGTTGTATGTAACTATGTATATGGTGCAATAGATCAAGAAATAATTAAAACTGGATAAGCCTTGTGTGTCACCTCTTACGGTGAGTGACACTGGTACGAATGAGCTAATCAAGGGATATAATTTCAAAAGGTCACTTATACATTCCTTTTTTTATAATCCAGGTGTCGTCACTCACGCTCTCATAATTCCGGATTTGATCACAGTCAGCATCATCAGTGCTGGATCCAAAGGATGAATCTAGTGGAACTTACACCACCTTTCAGACTGCTTCTCCCACCACACGAATCCGCTACCTTCATTATCATATTCTTCCTTCTCATCCGTTGAGCAACTCCGTGAAAATAGGAAGAATTATTGAGAACAAGACCTCCCTCATCTTCCCTTAGTGGAAATTGAATTCAAGACCTCGCAGAAAGGAGAGACTTGGAAGTGGATAATCATCCATTGGACTACACCCGCATCATCACTTATACATTCCTCCTCTACGTGAGTTGCACAAAAGTAGTAATGCATGTTCACCTTCCTTTTTGTGTACCTAATTACCTATTGTACCTTTGCTATATTAAAATAATTTATATCACCTCTATTTCTATTCACTAAAGTCTTCACGTATCGTTATTCTATTCGAATTTCTTTTTTCTCGTCTTCTTATTTTTTATAAAGAAACACTGCAATTATTTTTTATGTGCATGATATGAGCATTGTTCACACACAAAATTTTGAATGAGTAAATTCCCTAAATGAGACTAAAACAATGGGAAAATGCAAAATTAGGACTACCATGTTTTTAGGACCTTTTTAGGATTAAAATATTGCAGCTTGACAAAATTACCCCTCACTATAAAACTATAAGTTTCCGTTGTTTAATATAGCCGCTGCCACCACGCGGATGATCTCTCGCCTACCTACAGATTCCTACCGCCAAGTGAATAGCAGGGAATTGATTCATTTATCCTTCTTTTCTTCCTCTTCTTCTTTTCTTCTTCTTCCTCTTATTATCTTCTTCAGGTTCTCTGTGCTTCAATTTTTCATTTCTTTTCTATTAAAAATGAAAATACTCCTTTGGATCTAAAATTTCAGATGAAAAATAAGTTTCAACGAATGATCATGATCAGATATATCTGAATTTATATTTTATTTGCCAATTTTGTTTAATTCTGGTAAATTCTAGAAAATGTCACTTTTATAATCTGCAGAATGTCAAAATTATAAGTTATTCAAAAAATGTCACTTTTACGGTAGCATGTTCATCAAGATGGCAATCTCACTTTGAAAAAATGACATTTCAAAATGACATTCTCAAGTAAGCCATAAAAATGCCATAAAATGTCATAAGAATGACATTTTCTTATGGACATATGACATTTTCAGATTGACAACTTGATAAATATACTGCCACAAACATGACAGTTTTTTTTCAAATAACCAATAAGTTTGACATTCTTAAATTATAAAAGTGACATTTTGCTGAATAAATAAAATTCAAACACAAAGAATCCAAATTAATTAATAAAATTCAAATCCAATCCCTGTTAATCAAAATCATAATACTTCGTACAACTCAAATAAAAAGTTTGTTGTTGCTTGGAACCACACGTTTGATCTAAATGGTCACAAGTGAGATTTTTTTAGAAAAGTAAAAGAATTAAGAAAAATCAAAATCATTCTACAAAGATGCAAACAGAGCACCAGAGATATGATGAGGAGATGAAGATCGAACCGGAAGGAGAAAAAAAGAGAAGAAGAAGGAAGAAAGAAGAAGAAGAAGAAAGAAGAAAAGAAGAAAGTTGGAGAGGGAGCACCAGAGAAATGATGAGGAGATGAAGATCGAACCGGAAGGAGAAAAAAAGAGAAGAAGAAGAAGAAAGAAGAAGAAAAGAAGAAAGTTGGAGAGGGTGGCCTGTTTTCACCGGAGAAATAGGTGCGATTGGTGTCGATGGGGAGGGCGGACGCCGTTGATGTTGTAGGGGCTGCGTTTCATAGTGGGCGGAGTGGTTGCGTTCAATCGCGAGCGAAGGACTGCAATTCCATGGCGAGGAGAAAAGTTGCAGAGTAAAGGGAACTGATTGGGAGGAAGAGTCGATCGATTGGGTTTAATCATGAGGGCAAGAATGTAATGTGGAGTCCTATTTAGGGAATAATAAACTTAATGTCCTAATTAGGAATTTTGACAATGTTTTGATCTTATTTAGGGCAATTTTTTCATTTTGAATTGGATGTGGCATTATAATCAGAGTGTCTAATTTTGTATTGAGAAAATTTCCCATATAGCACTAAAATATAAACAAAGTGCCCGTCTAAGATTATTCCTAAAATATGACTTATTCACTCCTAATAAGAGAAGTTTTACACTTTTAATAACATTAAATAAGTTTTATTTCGGAAATAAAATACATGTAATCCTATTTTTCTTTTTGTTTAAGTTTAGTCCTATTTAGAGCAATTTTTATTTTATAATTTTGTACTATCATCAAGAAATCAATTCTAGTGGAGAAAGTATTAGTTCTAGCTAGCTTTTGAGTCAAAATTATTTTTTGAATTGATAGCGTTTAGGCATGCTAAAAAATACGGAGTAAGATTTATGAAAAAGTTACCAACTTTAAAAAGCAACACGGTTTAAACTTTTAAGAGATTGACAAGGATAGGTTAATAACAAGGGTGGAGATAAGGAGGGGCGGGAGGGGGCGTCTCGACACTGCAAAAAAAAAATTCTTAAGTATATATTATATATAAATACTTTTGATCTATAGAAAATATGTTCATATTTAAACGTTGACTCCTGTAATGTAAATTTTTTTAAAATCTACCCTTTTAACCATAGATTTCTGGATCCGACACTGATTGATACAAATGTCAGACCAATCTGGAATTCAACATTTGCAGATCTTCAGGGGAGGCTAAATTAAGTTCGTTTTGTCTTTTGATCTCATTAATGCTAATTAAGTTCTTTTCGTCCAAAAAAAAAGTATTTTGAAATTTTGATTTTTTCAAACAACATACGGAGTATTTCACAAGATGCGGTTTATGTGATTGAATATCCAATTCACATGATTCGATCATTTCCTGAAGTCATGTAAAATCTTTGCACCGAATCAAATTAAAATTACAAATTATACAGCCCAAACATGAAATAAGTTTGTATTATAAAAACCATAATTCCATTTTGAGCTTACATTAAATTATATTGTCTTCAAATCTTCATAATAAAATGAAATTCAAGAACATGATGCCAGAACATGGACATCCAGAAAGAGATGGTTCAGGGTTCTAACTATCAGGGTTTGAGACCCCTGCAAGAAATAAATTGTGATGTATTTATATATGTATAAATATTTATAAGTAATAAAAAATAAAGTGAAAATTTAAGTTTTGACTCTGCTGTATAAATTCCCTAAGCACAGTTCCAAACTGTCAATCGGCTCCGCCACCCCTAACTATCTATCTGAAATGAATCATGGCGGGATTCTTGCGAAAAGAATGAATATGAATCTTAGCTTCATCCGCATCGGTCGCTTTGCGCTTCGTGGGATTTGAAAATACTTCAGGGAAATTGCAGAGAGATATTGCAATTGGAGTGTTGACTATTAGGTGGGTTATGTCTCGGAGAGGCTTTCTCGTCAAATTCGATCTCCTCTTCTTCTTCTTCAAGGATTTGTTCTTTGAAGCCACTGGATTGACTTTTTCTGCAGATCTTGGCGGGATGTTCTCCTTGTTTTCAAGCTCAAAAATGGCAGCTGAAACCTCCATGGCCGCCGGTCAAAGATGAGTGGAATTGGAAATTTGAAAACCAGAGTGATATTCAAAGCGGGAGTGTGAATCCACCATTTATAGTTTATTACATATGGGAAATGGATTTCGTATTTATTTTAAGTAAACAAAAACAAAAGTAAAATGGATTTCGGAATTTGGTTCGAAAGTGTGATGAGAGCTCCGCTGGTTTTTTAAAATTTCAAAGGTTTTAATTTCAGGTTTGAGCGCTAATATTACGGAGTAGTTTTTAAGACAATTCCTTCTTTCTTGTTTTGGCGGGTAACGAGAATCATAGAATGGGATGTAGTGGGAAATAGCGCGCCAACAGGGATTATAAATTTACTTATGATAGGAAATTACCCAAAATAGGAGCAAATGACACTTGAAATTCCAAAAATAGGATTAATATGTTTTTCTTCCTGAAATAAGAGTTATTACTGTCATGTATTAAACATACTGTCATGATTGAAAAATACTGTTATTAATTATAATAAATACTGTCATGTTAAATGCATTGTACTGCAACTATTTGGCAGTCACGGCTACAAGATGACAGTAAATACTGTCATGTTAGTCCCATTTCGGAAATAAAAATAAAGTAATCCTATTTTGTAATTTCAAATTTCATTTACTCCTGAAATCTCCCTTTATGATATGATGATAGCTGAAGTTTTTCCAAAGGCACACATTTGACATTTTCTGATCAAGGAGAGAAAGCTTCTAACTAAAATTTCACACATATTGCATACAATATATCCAACAAAAAAATCGAGTAAATTTTAATGTAATGTTTGAAAAGTGTTATGTCATACTGCGGATTCAAATCCTCTGTCGTGCGTGCTTATTTGATGTCGAAAGGTGTAAGATATTGTGCTTTTCCTAAAGTTTTTTCTATTTGTTGGAACAATACTTATAATTTAATTGTTGTGCTTCTTAGATTTAAAGATCATTTTCTCACTTTAATGAAAGAAACTTGTAATTATATTATAAAACCGATTGAGATCGACACAATGCAAAAGATTTGCAACGTTTTAATTTATTTTAACAACGCTACTCAAACTTTTTCTCATGTGTATAAACCAACTAGCAACCATTTTTTACATATAATCTCGCCGGTGCTTTTGTAGAATTTTCTCAATCTACTTATGTACATTATTTTAATATTTTGTGATAACATGACACAAAAGTTTTTAAAATATTTTGTCTACATTCTGCCTATTAATCTATTGCTTTCTGTTTTGATCCTCGTTTCAAACTTTCAAATTATTAAACATTTTTAGAATACTATTATATTGCTTTCTACGGTCAATTCCCTATGTACGAAGACACACTCATAGATCCTCAAGCTCAATTCAACAAGGTTAGTAATCTATTTCACGCTTTATTTAATGAGTTTTATGCACAATATGGTAATGCACCCCCTCCCCCAACACCGGGTGCTTCTTCATCTAAAGGAAAAGGTTTTTTAAAGAAAAAATGGCACGTGTATCACTAATGGACTTCTAATTTCCAAATTTATGACTTTTCTCAATTTTTCCAAAAAACTGACCCGCTTGCCTCTTTCTTCATTCGACACTGCCTTCCTTCTCTCTTTGTTCGACGTTGCCTTCCTTCACTCTTCATTCGCGCAAGGCACGACCAGAGTTGCCATGGATGCAAGACGTGAAACTCCAGCGCCCTCACCGCCACTGTTCCAGCCGTCGCTCACTTCTTCTTCTTCTTCCTCCAATTTCAAGCTGAACGTTATCCATATGCTTTGTTGCTCGATTACCGCACCTCTGCCGCCTGTGCTCGCTTGACCGAAGCCACAAGTGCTGGATCCACCGTCTGGATGAATGATGACTATATTTACGGTCACTAGTGTCGGATCTATCGTCCTTGGGGCCGCCGGTACCGAATCTACCATCTTTGATGTTGTCGATTCCGGATCCACCGTCCTTCAGGCCATCGGTGTCAGATCTATCGTCTCGGAGGATGGTGACTCCGCTTTGGGCAGAGATGGTTCAGTGGCAGGGACGGGAGACGAATTGCAATGTCCTAGGTAGCAACAGTGCAGGGCGGGGATGTGGTTGGGATGTGGTGCGGTCGCCAGTCGGAATGGTCGTGACGGGGGGCGGAGGTGGTTCAGTGGTAGGGGTGAGCAGAGTCTTGGGACTGGGGCGGGTGTAGTAGGGATGGGGCGGGGTGTGGTGGGGCTGGAGTGTGGTGGACAAAGGCTGGGGATTGGGTTGGGGTGCGGTGGCCGCCTAGCCGACCGGGATGGTTGGTTTGAGGTGGTTGAATGAAAGAGGCAGAGAACGGCAGTGCCTTGCCGGGGGAGGGGGCGGCAGTGACTGGCCAGGGGGTGGTGACAGTCACTGGACGAGCCGACGGTGCAGTCACTGTGGCGGCAGGTTACTTGGCGGTGGAGTCGCTATGACCTGAGTCACTGCGGCAGGGGGTCACTGGACGAGCCGACGATGCAGTCAGTGTGGCGGCGGATTCACTGATCGGGGCGGCGGCAGTCACTGGACTAGCCGACGGTGCAGTCACTGTTGCGGCAGGTCACTTGGCGGTGGAGTCACTATGACCTGAGTCACTGCGGCCGGAGTCACTATGATGAAGAAAGTGGCGGGAGGCGGCGGCGGTGCATTAAATTTCTTAAATTTCTAGGTAGTCACTATCACCGGTGGCGGAGCACCGACGGCGGTGGTAGAGCACCGACAGCGGCGGCAGAGCACCGGTGGTGGGGGCGGAGCACCGGTGGCAGGGGCCGGTGGTGGGTGAATCAAGGCTGGATGGCAGCTTTATTATTAAAAAAGTATTTTAAAATAATAAAAGTAAATTAAATAAAGAGTACCTTGGTCACATTTGTGGAATACTTTAAAAAGAGTCATATTAATGTCTTTTGTCTTTTAGTTAGTAATATTCAAATAAAAAGGCCTTTTTTAAATCAACAATATCTACTCTTTTGAAAAAAAAGTAAATCAACTTCTGCCGTGACACAAAGCTCGATTAACGAGATCTCTTTATATCTAACGTTTCGTGTTGAGTTTAATGAAGCGGACAACTTGATATTCTCCAATGGTGGAAGAGCCACGAAGGGATATTTTTGGTTTTATAAAAAATGGCCAAACAAGTGTTGTCGATGCCGGTTTCAACAGTTGACGTGGAACAAGAGTTCAGTGAAGCCGGTAACGTTTTGACTGACTATAGAACGAGGTTGAGCGCTTCATCTCTTGAGACACTCGTTTGCTTCCATGACGTGTTGAAGGCCCGCCGTAGAACACAAGATGTCAACATAGCACCACACCGCCATTTCATGGACGAAACGACAATCGATGCCGGGAAGGGACTCTGACGAATAGTTCATGTATTATAGTTTTCAACTTTAAACTATTCTGAATTGTAATTTTCAAATGTGATATTGATACAAGTGACAATGTAGTGTTTAAAATAAATATACATCATTTATTTATTGTACAATAAAATTTAAAAAAAATAGTAAAGGGCCGGACCGCCCGAGACCGAACCGGAACCTGCTGGGTAGACCGGACCGGAACCGGGTCCATTGTAACCCGGGTCGTTCCGGTCTTCACTAATACGTCCCGGGACCGGCCGGTCCAGGACAGGACGGTCCGGGACCGGCCGGTCCAGGACCGGACCGGGTCCATCCCTAACCCTACACACATAACTACAGTGTATTACTTCGTATGTAGTATTATTTTTATTCGGGGATCTCGGGCAATCTTATTATTGTTACGGAGTATTTCAGTTTACCAGCCTTATGCGTCATGTTTTGCCAAACAAGTAACATTTAATTTCATTATATGAATTGCATAATAGTAAAAAATAAGTAAGATTAACGTTATTTTTATATTTTTATTGTTAAATTGATTGATGTAAGAAGAAATTCCACTTATGGTCCTTCGAGTTTTGCACCAATTCCACAATTATTCCTCGTCTTTCATTTTATCCATTTTTGGTACTTGACTATTGTTTTCTTGACCATATATAGTCCTTTTCCGATAGTAAAATTGTAAAAATGCTTAGAAATGGACCACAAATGGTCAAAAAAACAATAGTCAGGTACCAAAAATGGATAAATTGAAACACGAGGACTAAATATGGAAATGACACAAAACTCGGAGGACCTAAAGTAGAATTAATTCTTGATGTAACAACAAAGGACCATTTTAGCTACTCCGTATTTCATATAGTTTTTTCTTTATTTTATCAATAAAATACGGAGTATATTTCCATAATTTTTCCATAATTTAGCAAATTCATTCAATTGAGTCGCTTCAATCAAAATTTCACAAATTTCAACATATTCAACCAATATCAATATCACAAAATAGAGACTCTGTTGTATGTTAATTGGTCCTTAATCGCTTTAATGATTTTAAGTACGTGTGCATTTGGTGTGGCAGAGAGTTGTTTTTATTGGCTAGTATAGTACTCCCTCCGTCCCAAAATGAACTTCATAGTCACTATTCACATGGTCAACTTAAATTACTCTTAATCTTATGTTTTATATATCAAAATTTTATCAAATTTATATTTTTTTATCAACCTTTGTAGCAGTTTTAATATAGTTTCTCAATATGTAAATTTTATTTACCAAAAATAATCTGAGTATGAACAGGGATCGAGTTGTTTTATTGTCGGTCAAGCATCGTAATCCGAAATGGGAAGTTAATTTTGGGACAGAGGTAGTAGTGATGTTGGGCTTGATTACATGCAAAAATCAAGTATAGGGGACATGTTTATTATGATCAAATATGTGTGTTGGAACCGATTACAGTGGGAAGGAGATGCATACACACTAAGACACACACTAAGATTCAAGCTAAGAGTTGATAAAAGTCTATGATTGATCAACATCCTAAACTGGAAACTACAATTACAATTACCCATAGGGCCAGATTGAAGAGCAAACAATTGTTGCAGGCTGTCCTACAAAGTTGCTAGATACAAAAAAGGATTGCAGACCTAAAGGGGAAGTACATATATTCAGATGATCTTGGGAAATGCCATTTTCCCCTCATCTCTGACAGTATATAACATAGGCCACCATCTTCAACATCCTCAAAAAATAAATAAAGGTACAAACAATAAACTGACTGTGACCAAATCCCACATCCATCTGCCAACTTGTATACAACTGCTACTGTAAACATCTGCTTGTGTAGTTCCTACAACTATACTTATTGGTTTGCTTAGGCTGCACAAAGAATGTTGTAGAGATTAGTGATCTCCATAGCCAGAACAAATTATGCAATTCACTAGAAATACTGAAATAAATTGTATCTAAACAGTCCATTCTATCTGCTCTATTGCTCTAAGATAAACTCCACTCAACTCTTAAAGATGTGGCCATATACATGCTTATTGGTGAACATCCTACCGTATTTAAAAGATAAAAACTTGCATGAGTATCAACTTCGGTGTAAACCATTCTATCTCAACTCCGCAAAGTCACAAAGGTAAGACCACATTTGACTCTTTCTCAAAGATGTTGAACTTGGGCCAGTAATATATTTTGACAAAAAAGCATAATGTGAAAAGAATACAAAGTGGTTCTTTTTTAAAGAATACTCCCCTAAACTACAAAATTTGAATTTTTCACCAACATATATGGATTAAAAATGAGATGTCCTATAATCTTTTTATTTAAGGTACTTGCATCCGCTCATATCTTTCAGGTGATGTCCTAGACTTTGAAAACTATCACTAATTCATGGCATAAAGTAAGCATAAGCATACATTAAACAAAAAACAAATTACTCCTTCCATTCCATGTGACTTGTCCCGATTATTATTGTTCGGTCAATCCTGTGTTCTTATAATTACCGATGTTAAGTACCATCTCTTGTCAGATTCAAATCTACTTCCGGCAATACGGTAGAACTTTTAGTGTATTTTCCAAATGTGTAATTTTAATAACTAAGAATAACTTATGAGTTAAAAGGAGAACTAATTTAATCTGGGCAAACGTTGTGGACTGCTCTACACAAGCAATTTTGAAAACAAATTGCAAAATTTCCAGCATTTACCTTGATGGGATCTTGCAATTACCAAAACCTGCAAAGCAAAAAAGGTGAACAAATGTGCCAAAAGCCCAAAACTAATCAATAAATTGGTTTCCAATTAAACGTTTATATCGCTACAATAACTCTGTAAGATTATTACTTTGAAGTAAAGTTCACATTACTCACTAGGGTTTAGGGAGGTAAGAGCAGCGGTGTTCTGGAAATCACAGCTGTCATTAGTCATGCCATTTCTAATGAAGTAATTGTTGAAGGCAAAAGTCGCCGTCCGCTGGATGTCGGAGGCGTCGTGGCACGGCCCACCGGGCTGAATGGGCCCACAGTCTGCACCGCCTGGTCCACAGGCCCAGTCTATCGCTGTTTGAATCGCAGCGTCCTCGGCGTTGTTCTTGGCCACGCACCAAAGCTCCACCCTCACTCCTCCGTCGCCAACGGAGGCGCTGCCCTCTTGGGCGGTGCAAAACGGAGAGAGTAAATACACCAGAACAGAGAAGTAGAATACAGGGGACATCTTTGTGGATAAGGGAGAGAGAATGAGAGAGGGCGTGTAAAATTGTAAAATTAGTGAACGAACGATGAAATATTAACTCGCGCTACTATTACCAATCAAATAGAAGTAGGAAGTATACTCCTTTCCCTCCGAACTTTTTCTAACTTCCTTTTTTGGAGGATGGACTAATTTTGTCACTTTCCCATTTTAGTAAAAATTCGTACTTTCACTTACTTCTCTATTCCCTCCATAAATCTCAATCACACAGTTTTTACTTTATTAATCTTCATGGTGATTAAATTTGACAAAGTTTTAAGGGACGGAGCGAGTATGAGCCAATTTGCACCGCTAGAGTGGCAATAAGAAATCCATAAATTTAGTTGAAAAATTCCTTTTGTACACATTCTTATTCACATCAGTACAATTTCGTGTCTGTGAGAGTTTTTTTTGTCTCTCAATCCCAATCGACACACAAAAACTAACTTGTTTTGTCTGTAGAATTTTCCACGGACAAAACAAGCCGGTTTTGTCTGTGAACTGGGATTCATAGACAAGAAAAACCTCTCACAGACACGGAGGTGTACTAGTGTGTATAAAAATGTGTATGATGGAGTATATGGCCCGGGAACCCCCGGTCCACAGACTCCTACTACTCCAATAAAGGCCCAATAGGCCCAGGAAGCACAACAGGCCCAAATCTCAGCACCCAGAGTACCAAGCGGCCCACAGTGCGCACCAGGGGTGCCTTCGCCCCCCTGGCCGAAGGCTCTGATTCTAACAGGAGGGTAAAATCAGGAAAACAAAGTTACTGAGAGAAAACGGCGAAAATCAGTAGCCCTCGGCAATTAGAGCCCTCGGCACTAGGGAGGTCCCTGGTACTCAGAGCCCTCGGCTAGTCATCTACAGCCGAGGGCACCTTTCCGACATAATATCCGCTCCACATGCGTATGAATCACCGTACCAAGTACGACGTCACATCCAACAGCCGCATTAAATGTGGCCACATGCGAGTGCCAGCGCCGACCAGTTGAGGTGACCCCTCGGCCAATGGACGCTTGACACGTGTCCCTGTCTGGCATTTATTACTACTATAAATAGCACCTCATTTCCCCATTTGTAACCCAGAAGCAAATACGCTGAATACATTTCTAATATACTCTCTCTCTCTCTACTTACTTGATCTGACTTCTCTCTAGTTATTCCCCGTAATGACCTCTCGGATAAGATACCCCCGGGTACACTATCCATCGGTGTACACCAAGAATTTTTGAATTTAGTTTCCATTGATTTTGTTGTTACTTCCTTATTAAAGTTAAAGTAGAATTAGGATTAGAATCAATTTTCAAAATTTAGTATCACTTATTTTTTAAAACTGCATCTTAGAGCAATTTGGAGTGGTCAAAAATACTTATGTAGTTTCACTATACTACTTCACGGAGCAAAATCAGTTTCAAAATGTAAATACAAACACCGTACCCCATTAATTACTTCATGCGTCAAAATTGATATTTAAGTTCGGTTATTCGGTACATTTCGATGTATCAAACCTCTTGTGATATAATTAATCATGCTTATGCCAAATAGATTTTGCTCTAATGACATCATTGTTGACTTCTCATATCTTTAAACCCAAAAATTTGTGTTAAAACATAGCTCAAAGCCTCAAATCAAAATTAGGAGGCATACACTTCCTCTCAAACAATTTTGTTTCGAATCATAGATTGTTTGGATTAACTAAAACTTACATATTTGAAAGACAATAAAGTTGCAAAATCCAAGTTATAAAATAGGTTTTTTCGTTAAATAGGATTAATGTAAAAACAATGTGCACAAATAAGACCATCATGATTTTCTACGTAAAATAGGACATATTTACTCTGAATTTACTCCTACTTAGTCAAGTTTAATACTTTTAGTAGGATTAATTAAATTCTATTTCAGAAATAAAATATTCCCCCTCCGTTTCTAAAAGAAACTCAAATTTTCCTTTTTATTTTTGAGATGTTTCAAAAACAAAGTCACACTTCCCTTATTTCCTTATTTGGCAAAGAAATATACATCCAAACAGTGCCAAACAGTGCGAAACAGTGCCAAACAGTGCCAAACAGTGTCTAAACAGTGTTTTCTACAGTAAAGTTAATTTATTTCCTTAATAATCATGAAGTCAAACCGTGACTTTCTTTTGGAAACGGAGGTAGTAAGTAGTCCTAGTTTTCAAAAGTATGAGGTGTAGTGTGGAATGAAAATTGCATGTAAGTTAGATAATATAGTAAAGGTATATGCGACTTTATAATAAAAACTTTTGAGAAATGGAAATAAGAACTTCAATTTGGAACTTCAAAATTAAAGAAAGAAAGTGAACATTTGTTTGGAATTGGAGGAAGTAATAAACAACCGATACCCTAAATAAAGAAAATAAAGCAAAATTATGTTGCCAAGCAAACTAATCTTATCAAGGAGCAACAAGTAATTTTGTTATTCATGGAGATAACGAGTTATGAACATACATCACAGAGATAATTCAAAGATGAATCTCTCATCGAACAAACTTAAACGGGCTAACACAACATGTAAATCAAAGTTTTGACCCTCCATCAATAGAGCTTATGCATAATAAGGGGAGCACCATGCTTTGGCTGAGTGGTCGCCCTTGAATATGGAGCATGGCCATAAGAAGGAGAGAGTTCAAAGGAAAAGCGTTGCAGAATCATTGCCATTGCCATTTTAGCTTCTACCAAAGCGAAGTTTTGGCCAATGCATATACGAGGCCCTCCACCAAATGGGAAGAAGGCATGCTTTCCCTTTGTCGCCTTCATAATACCATCACTGAACCTATCTGGCTTGAACTCCTTAGCTTCTGCACCCCATATATCAGTATCAAGATGTAGCAGAAGTATGGGTAATGACACCATCACCCCTGCAGGCAAAGTCATATCTCCAAGTTTTACCTCCTGGGTCGTCTTTCTAGTCAAGTAAGCTACTGGCGGGTACAGTCTCAAGGACTCATATAAAATCATCGTCACCTGAAACAGTACAAAGAGTAGCATTAGCTACCGTGAACTGCAACATTCTCATTGATCCATATGGACAAAGGTATGGTACGTTATGGGTACCATATAATCTACCGTTTGAAATAATTACTTACAACTTTGAGGTCATTTAGTCCTTCGAAATGTGGCTTCTTATCCCGCCCAAAAACTCGCAGCACCTCTTCTCTAGCTTGAGCTTGCCATTCTTGAAATTTGCTGAGTAAAACCATAGTCCAGACGAGTAACACAGAGGTGGTCTCTTGCCCTGCAAAGTAGAACAACTTACACTCCTCAATGACTTCTTCAATGCTCATCCCAACCCCCTTGTTCCCATGCTTCTCGATTTCTTGCAAGTTAGATTGAAGTAATATGCCTAGTAGATCATCCTTGCTTGTGTCCCCTGCATGCATGGCCTTCAACCTTTTCTCTATAATGGTATGAACAGATGACTTCACTTCCTTCTGAATCTCATGCATTCTCCTATTCCTCTTTGTTGGCACAAATCTACAATCAAATAAACTTACAAGTTCACTAAGTGAAGAAATTCATACTTGTACTGTATTATTTTCTCGATCATGATGTTCATATCAGATCACCTCCACCCAGGTACATAAACTTCGTTGAAAGCTTCCATGATGTGCATGGCTTGTTCTGTTTGGAGCTCGAATATCCTGCTTCCATCTTTGTAGTTGCTCCCGAATGCGGTTCGAGAAATGACATCGCTTGTCATGGTTTGAAGGTCCGGCCACACATCCACCTCGCAATGCTCTTCGCGTGAGGCTCTCCCTTCCCATTTGCTCACCATATCACCACAACTTATCATGAATGCTGGTTCCATTAACTGTTGGATGCAATGATAATTAATGATATGAAAGAAGTTCAAAATACTATTTATTATACCAATTAATTAAGTGGATTATATTGTGTGAGAATTATGTTGTATAGTTTTACAGAGAGGTAATTAATTTAAAGAGCTAGGTCACTAACCTTTAGCTTCTCAGTATAGAAAGCTGGATTGAGTAACTTTCTATGCTTTTTCCACTGATCATTCTCGTAAACAAGTATTCCCTGGACCAACTTATTTAATAGTGGGTTGGTGTGAGGCTTCTGATAGAGATAGTTTTTATTCAAAACCTCTTTTATTAAGTCAGGATGCATGATGAACACCATAGGAGTTGGACCCATCCATAAATAGCAGCTTTTGCCTGCTTGCATGCATGCAATTCAGTTATGAGGAAATTACTTGAAAAGGAAGTAAAGTATAACACATTTGGTGAAATATATATAGGAGTACTATCATCAGTTTCTTTCCAAAGCAAAACAAGACTTATTATCACTATTTTCTTGACTTTCTTCCCAAAGTAAAACAAGACTTATTCACTCAAATTATACAGAAGGTTTTTATTGTTCTACCCATTTAAATAAGACTAAATAAGTCAGCATACTTGGAGGATAAAACATACACCATGCAATATTTATTTAATTAATCCAATCTATAATCTTCTACTAGTAGAAACTTTATTGTTGTCTTGCTCCTATTTTGAGAATTCTCATCATTTCAATTATTTTCTCTCGAGAACCGCAAAAATAGATCAAAGATCGATCTAAGCACGATGGGGTTAACAAACAAAAAGAAGAAGATTCATTTCTTTGATCAATAGGAGCAAAACAATAACTAACAATGTGTATAAATAGAAGTAAATGTTTAAAATCTCTATACAAGTAAATTAAAACGTTTCCGGTGGAAAAATTAAAAAGCCTTTGGCAGCCGGGACCGGTCGTCGGGCCTCGCCACCGCCTGTCAACCGACCTCCGCTGCCGCTACGACGGACTCCGGTCCCCGACAGGAACCACTAAACACTCATTGGTACACTCACGTACAAGTCATAACACTTTACTAGAGTTTGAGTTAATAATTTCATTAAAAATGAATGAAAAGAATCTGTACCATATTTGCTGATGATTTGAAGGAAATGTGGAAGGAGTTTAGGAGCAATGTCATCGTCAGAGGGACTCATGGGCTGGGAGTTTACGGCATCACTTATCATTCTGCAACTTTCTTTCATGTCTCCATGGAGGATTCTGTAGGGGTTACCCTTCAGACCTTGCTTCTTAAGGCACCTCTCCAGCCTCCTGGGCTTAAGCCATACCCAATCCAGCATTCCCCATACAAAGAAACCCACAGGAATACTCACTACTGCTAGAATACTGTAAAATATCATAGTGTTCGATCGATCTGATGATGGCTATTGATTTGGGCATTTGTTTATTTTATACTAGTAGTATATATATGGAGCTGCGGCAGAAAGTTATCACGCACGTCAGGGATGATGCATGCATGGTATCCGGAATTAATCACTCATACACACTGTAAAACTGTATATTGACAAATGTGGGGTTTGCTTCTAGAAATATATCATTGACGATTCCAACGTCAGGGATGACGATATATAGAAAGAGTTAAACATGTGGGGCTCCCTAGCTGCATTACGCCAATTTTTTTAAATTTTAATTTCAAAGAGATAATGGAAGGCCACCGTTTGTGTGCATCTATATTCTAGAAGTACATTATTTTACATTATTAGTACCACCTATATCCGGTACCTTGAAAAGTTTTGACAAAATGATACGCTTATTTATACAATACTATCTTCGTCCCTTAAAACTTTGTTAAAGTTGACCGACACGGAGAATAATAAAATAAAAATTGTGTGGTTGAGATTTGTGCAGAGGAAAGAGAAATAACAGAAACCACAAAATAATTGATTAAAAGAGAAAGTGACAAAATTTTTTGGGACGTTCCAAAAAAGTGACAAAGTTTTAAGGGACGGGGGGAGTAATTAAATAAAATAATTCAAGTATGTTTTGAATTTTTTTAATAGGGTGATGTTATATACTTTGTATGTATTATTTTTAATAATCCCTCCGTCCCAATTTATTTTGAAAAGTCAACATTTTTTGGTCAATCAATAATAAAATTCAATCCTCTCTATCGATAATTAATTTAATTTTTAATAATTAAAATTTATATATTCATAAACTACATTGATATCTCTTCAAAGTTGTAAACACCAAATTAGAATATAATTAAAATTGACATCCTAATTAAACGAACAAAACAGAACTGTTTGATCAAGAAAAGTCAAATTTGCAAATCAATTTGGGACGGAGGTAATATGTTATTTTTCAAAAGTAAAACAAGACTTATTGACTCAAATCACTAACATAATGAAGTTAGTCTTAATAACTGTATTATTTTTAATATTTAGTGATTAAATTGTCATTTAAGATTGTTAATTGTTTCCTAAAATAGAAATGAGAACATTTACATGGGACATCCAAAAAAGGAAAGTGAGAATCTTTCTAAGGGACGGAGGGATTAAATGGAAAGTTCCCGCTTTCCTTTTTTGGATGTCCCGTTGGAAAGTTCTCATTTCCCTAAATGGAAAGTTATCCTACATCAAAACAGGGTCAAACAGTGCAAATAGTGTCAAACAGTGTCGAAACAGTGCCAAATAGTGTCAAAACAGTGTAAAAATAGTAAAATTTACCACGTGGTAAGTTTATTTCCTTAATATGTGTGTAGGTCAAACCGGGAACATTCCAACGTGACGGAGGGAGTAAATCCTTATGAGCTTTTCAAACACACACCACAAAAACATTACGAGATTGACACGAATTTGATTCAGATTCACTGATGATTTTGTGTCAAATAGCTCGTGCCAAAAAAAATTGGCACTAATTTGACATAACCCTGACAAAATCTCTACCAATTTTGGAAAATGCATACCAAATCTGTACATTAAAGCTTATGTATAATACACCACCATACGACTTGAAATATGTTGTATTAGCTAGTAATAACTTACAATTTTGAGATCATTTAATCCTTCAAAATGTGGCTTATTATCACGACCAAAAACTTGCAGCACCTCTTCTCTAGCTTGAGCTTGCCAATCTTGAAATTTTCCAAGTAAAACCATAGTCCAGAGGAGTAACACAGCGACAGTCTCTTGCCCGGCAAATTAGAAAACCTTACACTCCTCAATCACTTCTTCAATGCTCATCCCAGCCTTCTTGTCCCCATGTTTCCTGATCTCTTGCAAGTTAGATTGAAGTAATATGCCTAGTAGATCATCATTTTTTGTCTCTCCTGCCTGCATGGCCTTCAGCCTTTTCTCTATAATGGTAAGAACATATGCTTTCACTTCATTCCTAATGTCATGCATTCTCCTATTCCTCTTTATTGGCACAAATCTACATGAAATCAATTCACAAGTTCACCAAATGAAGAGACACAAAGAGCCCGTTTGGTAGCACGAAAATCGGCTAATTTGGCTGATTCTGCTGAAATTTATAAAGTTCTGGCTGAAGTGACTGCATTGGCTGATTCTGCTGATTTAAGAAAAAATTATTTTTAAAATATATTTTATTAATAAAATAAAGAAAAAGTTATATGTAAAAATAGCTAAAATGGTCATCTACGGTAACTTCAGCCGATACAGCCAGAAAAGTAACTCCAACCTTACTTTTTCTGCTTATTACACAATTCAGCGCGTGAAAGCAAAAGTTACGTGTTTGGAGAAAAAGTTGGCTGATAAACGTGATAAGCCAAAAAACAGTGTTGCCAAACGGCCTCAAAATCTTATTTTATCATGATATCCAATAATGTAGAGTTTACTACTTAATCTCATACAGGGTCAGCTAGAGCAATTATGAGGCCCTAGACGGTCATTTAGAAATTTTGTTTTAAATATGTTTTATTTAACCCAATGATATAAAAATAGCAATTAAATATAAGTAAATTACATATAAAATACATCATATACTATTAACACAGTGAGAATATTCTTCGAAATCAGAAGATCAAAATTGATGAAAAAATACAAAGAGCCCTAGAGGGAGAAGATTTTGTGCTTACATACAACATACCGATCGATAGAGCCGGAAAGTGATTTCATGACCAAATCATTTCTTAATTTTTTTCTTTGTCTTTGTACATCTTGATTCATATAAGTTAATGGTTCATAGATATAAATTTAATTCACTAAATTTAATCAAATATAAAAAAATATAAGTATGTTCAATATTTCGATGAATCAAAATAACAAATTACAATTTCAATTATTCAATAAGCATTCAAATATATTTAGAATACTCATTATCCTAAATCCCTAGCCCTACTGCCCTAGCCAACAAAGAAAAAAAAGGAAAAAGGAGCAAATAAGCCCACATACTAACCAAAAAGGTCAAATAAGTCCTTGTATAAGAGACTTTGTCCCGCCGTCGCCATTTGGGGTAGTTCCCGGTGGATTTTTTTGATGAAATGTTTTGAGAATCTTATTCATTAAGTCTTATTTACTTATACCAAATTTCAGCTAACAATTCAACATGGAAGGCATTCAAATAAATTCTTGAAGATAACTGCGCTTTTAACTGCGCAGTTATCTTCAAGAATTCATTTGAATGTCTTCCCGATTGAATTTTTAGGTGAAATTTGGTATGAGTAAACTAGACATAATGAATAAGATTCTAAAAAAAATTCATCAAAAAATTAGAAAGGAAACTATCCCAAATGTTGACGGCCGGACAAAGTCTCCTAAATAATATTAATAAGCTTATTTTATAAATTAGAGGCCCCTAAAATTTGGAGGCCCTAGACACTTGTCTAGGGTAACTCTCCCTATGTCCGGCCCTGATCTCATATCACCCCATCCGGGTACATAAACTTGGCGCAAAGCGTCTGTGACGTGCATTGCTTGTTCTGTTTGGAGCTCAAATATCTTCCTCCCATCCTCGTAGCTGCTCCCGAATGCGGTTCGAGATATGACATCGCTCGCCATGGTTTGAAGGTCCGGCCACACGTCCACCTCACAATACTCTTCTCGCGAAGAGCTACTCCCTCCGTCCCTTATAACTTTGACAACTTTCCTTTTTTGGTTGTCCCAAATACTTTGACACTTTCCCTTTTAATCTATCAGTTTGTGGTTCCTGTTATTTCTTTCTTCTCTGCACAAATCTCTACTACACAGTTTTTACTTTATTATTCTACGTGTCGGTCAAATTTCACGATCCTTTTAGGGATGGAGGAAGTACATCATTAGATTTTACACACATGCATCTCACTAACCTTTAGCTTCTCGGAATAGAAAGCGGGATTGAGTAGCCTTCTATGCATTTTCCACTTATCATTCTCGCAGAGGAATATTCCTTTGACCAGATTCTTTAGTACTGGGCTGATGTTTGGCCTGTGATTGATATACTGCTAATTTTTATTTAATATCCCTTCCGTCTCAAATTGAATTGCAAACTTTGACCGACACAAAGATTAAGAAATGACAATAAATGATGTTTGTCTTTTACACTTTTGCTCATCTTTCTAAATGTAGATGTCTTTTAGTTAATGGGGAAAAAGTAAAAGTAAGAGTAAATTTGTCACTTTATTCTTATTTACATACGTAAAATAGAAAGTGAAAAAATCATTTTGGAACAATCAAAAAAGTAAATTTTGCAAATCAAATTAGGACGGAGGGAGTATCTCTTATATCAGACGAGGGTGCATGATGAGCACCATAGGAGTTGGACCCATCCATAAATAGCAATTTTTACCTGTTTGCATGAATGCATATAATTCGATCAATTATTTGCTTTCAACAACGACTAAATAGATGATCGAAGAGTTCTATGCATGATGGAATTAAAAAAGAGGGGAAATGCCTCAAATAGGAGTAAAATAATACGTAGTACGGAGTAGCAAAGTTCAAAACCGGCCAAGAGCTAGCTTAGGAGTATATGTTTAGAATTTCTAAAATCTATTGTTTTATGAGATAATTCCCTAAATAGAAGTAAAAAAATTTGAAATTCCAAAATAGGACTGTCATGTTTTTTATTCTTTGAATAGGAGTAAATTTCTGTCAAGTTTGGCATTACTATGCTTTAAACATGACGTTTTTTTCCAAACTTGGCAGAAATGGAGGTAGAGGACGAGGTCGAGGCAAAGGCAGAGCTCGAGGTCAAAGTAGAGGGAGATCTCAAGTTCGAGGAAGATCACAAGAGCGGGGGAAGTCCGTCGATACCAATACTTGGTTCGAGGGATATTGCAACCATTGTGGTCATTATGGGCATAGAAAGAGGGAATGTCGAAAGTTTCTACGGGAGCAGTCTCAGACGAGTCAAAGTTCAAGCAAGGAAGATGGTGAGACCATGGTCACCATGTCACCAGACATTGCACTTGTTACTTGCGGAGAA